TGACATATTGTGGAGAATGCAATGTTATTCAATGCTTTATGTACAAGCTATTGGAGGGGAAACGAATGTGATCAGTAAACGTTTACCTAAGGAGCACGCATGTTTATGCGTGCACGCGTGCACGCACACATACAATTATGCCCCAAACTTGGGCTGGGTCAGAACTTTTTCTTTTTGAGCTGGAGTAGATAGGACGGGATATGTTTCATAACTTCCTCCTGGGGGGAAATCAACACTTCTGATAAAACTTATAAACAATTTTCTGAAAGAACTCATCCAACTGTTAGTCAAGAGTGGAATTATAGTCTAAAAGTCTAAAAACGATGGTCTATGGCCATAAAATGTCCCTACCAAGAGTAAATCTCCAAATTGGCTCAGTAGACTCCTTTTGTAAAAAATCCTGAAAAGTTTACAACTAAATTGTTTGAAGTGTTTTCTTTTGACAATGTTTAAAAATACTTAAAAGCCTTTAAAACCCAATGTTCAACTTGGTACTAGTCAAAGGGAGAAGCGGGTGACAGAACTACAGGAACAGAATGCAATTCATAGTCTTAAGACAAGTAGTTGAGGACCTAACATAAGTTAAGGAGCTCTGGAGATGTAGTGGTTACGTGTTGGGCTGATCATTACTGTGCTCATTATTGTAGCTCGGACCTGGTGTGGAGGGGGTAAGCTAATTGCAAGGTCAGCACTTTGAAACCAGGAGCCACTCTCAGGAGACAAACTCGGCTTCCTAGTCCTAGGGTCTCAGAAACTCACAGGGGAAGTTCTACCCTGCCCTAGGAGTCAGGGTCAACTCAATGACAGTATGATAGTATGATAACCCGAGTTAGGTTTTCACATATATTTACGTTTCCCTGGGTGCCAGACAGTGATATAGGGCTAGGCTAACAAAAACAAAAACAAACTCACCGAGTAGTCTCGAACTCATCATAGTGGCTCTATAGGGCAGGAGGGAGCTGCCTGTGTAGGTTTCCGAGATTCTGACTATTTATGGGAGTAGAAAGTCTCGTTTTTTCCTCCTGTGGATTGCCTGGTGGTTTCGAACTGCTGACCTTGCAATTAGCTTAACCCTCTACACCAGGCCTGAGCTACAATAATGAGCAGGTGTTGTCGGAGGGGGAAGGGGGGGGTGATCAAAGTACAATTCCCACCATATCGTGTCCTGTTGCCTCTTTCCAGGTCAGCGATGCTCCACACCCCTGTCTTCCCTTATTCTGGCAGGGCAGCAGAGTCTCCAGCCCTGGTCCGCGATTCGCGGGCCTCCGAGCGGAGATGGACTACAACTCCCACAATGCCCCTGACGGCACACCCTGGAAAGGCTACAGGCTGGGCCGGGGTTTCCTACAGTTCCCAGAATCCCTCGCTTCCCCCTTGGGTGTTCTTGCCCCTTTCAAGGTGCGGGACGCGGTGGAAGCGAGCCAGGGTGCCAGGCCTGGGCTCCTCTGCGTCCTTCCCTGGGGCAGGGGCGAAGCCTGGACTTGACTGTGGGCGCCGAGCCCAGCAGCCCCCAGGAGGCCGGTTCCCCTCGCCCTCCGCCTCCTGCTGCGCCCGCGTCGCCCGCTCGGTTCCGGGACCGGCTGTCTGGGCCCGGGTGGCCGTCTCGGCCGCCGGGGCTGTGGCCCTCGGGGCGGCGGTAGCCGCGTCAGCACTGGGGAGGAGGAGGAGGAGGAGGAGGGAAGATGGCGTCGGAGCTGGAGCCCGAGGTTCAGGCCATCGACCGGAGTTTGCTGGAATGTTCAGCCGAGGAGACCGCAGCGGTGAGTGCCCGCGCCCGGACGGAGCCGTCCAGCCCTCGCTGCCCGCGCCCGGGGGACAGCGCCCGGCTGCTGGACACCCTGCAGGAGCCGGCGCCTGACTTGGTGTAAGGACCGAGCCGGCATCTCCGGCCTCGCTTTTTGGAGTAACGGCCGGGAGAGGCCACTGAGCCCTCTTTTGCCCTTTTCTCTTCTCGCCCCGTTTCTGTTGGACCTCAAACAGCACCCCCAGCACTGCGCCGGGCACCCGCCCGCCCTCTGCCCTGGCTGACCCGAGAGCTCGCCCCCCACCCTCGCGGTCAGTACCCGGCTCGCAGGCCCATGCCTTTCTCCCCAGCTCTGGGAAGAGGCGGGCAGAGCGATGTTTCCCAGGCTGTCGGCGCCCTGCGGGGTCTTCCCGGGTCCTCCCTGGAAACCGAGCCGCACTTTGTTTCTGGGACCGCCGGCGGCACCCGGGATGCGAGCGGCACAGCCCCACCCCACCCCGTGTGTGCGCTTCTGCACCTTTGGGGGACGCCGGCCGCGCTTAGGACTGCGTGCAACCTGCTGTGTGCTCGCTTGCTCGCCCAGTGTCTGAAAGTAGGAGAGGTGGTAGCTGAAGGTGAAGCAAACTCTCATGCAAGCATTTTCTCCCCTAGAAGTTGGATGAGGACAAGCGTTATATAACCTCCGCGGCGGCAGCTTTCAGCAGCCACCAGCTAGCTCATAGTGTCAGGACTGGCTGCAGCTGCGTGGGAGCAGTGTGCCCCCAAACCGAAGCCACCCAGACCAAGCAGGGTGCTGGAAGTGTGATTGGAAAATGCTGGGAGAGTGTTGTAAAGTGACTCACGTGGCCTCTTTCCCCACCAAGGACTGGGAACACCCTTTAGAACAGTTGGGCCCCACCTGCAAGGCCTCCCAATTTAAAATGCTACTTAGGAAGGGAGCGACCTTTGAACGTACATCCAGGATCCTATCTGAATGTGGTGATCACAGTTTGGGGGGGGCGGCTGTTGGGTGCTGAAAAGTTATTGTGAGTGCGTTGATGGGGATGAAAGTTTAAAGAAATGCCCCCGCCTGTGAAATGAAGATTGCTTTGCCCCTTTGTGGTTGTGGATTCCACCCCAGTTCTGACTCCATTGCTTAGCGGAGGTCTGTTTTCACTCAACTACTTACTCACTGCTGCCAGTGCATTCTGACTCACAGCGACCCTCTAGGAGCAGAGCAGAGCTGCCCCCGTGGGGTTCCTGGGCTGTAGCTAATTGACAGGTGTAGGAAGCCTCTTCTCCTACTTTCTGCTCAATGGAGGAACAGCCCAAGGAGGGCCGGCCCCTATTTGTCTTTCATTTAGCCAGGATGTTTGAAAAAGTAACTGAAAGCGCCCCTCTGTGCCAACAGTAGGATTCGATAAGGGCAGAATGCGTTATTTACCCCCAAGTAATTTCTTTTCCCACTCCAAATTTTGTCTTTTGGACCCGCGATGCAGGCAACATATTCCATTATCTACTAAAAAACGTGCAAACTTTTTTCGATCCAAGTTTCCGAGCTTCTCCAACTTGAAGTCCTGCAGGAAACCAGTCATCAGAGCACCTTGGAGACCAGGGCTCCTTCCCAAGCAGATGCGATGGGGGGAAGGAAAGGCAATGACCGTGTGTATGAATCTGAACTTCATTCGAGTTTGTGAAGGTCAGCAAATGGGTCTGCGTTTCCCTTTTGCTGTTTGCTTTTTAATGGGTATCAGAGCGATTGTGGAAGGAAAAATGTTTACTGTAAAAATGAATGAGATGCCTTCAAATATTAGGTGCAGACTAATATGAAAATGGGGGGAATTCCTCCAGCTCTATAACGGAGCCTTACTTTGTAAATGAGTCTCTGTTGGTATTTGCTTTAAGAGCATAGTACTTGAAATTGTTTTTTTGCCTTGCACCCCAGCACAGCTCTTTTTCACTCATTGAGATACATTGTTTTCTCCACTGGTAGAGTACATTCCAGAGAGCGTAAACAAGTAGAGACATCAGTACATACAGCAGCCTTTTGGACCTCTGTTAGTTGGTTGCGATCATATCCGTTTAAAATTGCCCAATGAGCATTAGTTTCCGCTCTGACCCACTTTATTTACATATTGCTTTCCTTCTAGTGGCTCTCTGCTCCCTTCAAGACGTACAGCCCTGGTGACCCAAAGGGGGCAGTTCTGCTCTGTCCTACACGCTTGCTATGAGTTGACTTGATGGCAGTACATTTTATTTATTTTTTTTATGACCGTAAATCTTAATGAATTGTTTCAAGGGGTTCCGGTGGCATTGTAGGTAGCACCAAGGTCAGTGGTTCGAATCCACTAGCCTCTCCTGGAGAAAAAGGTGTCGCAGGTTGCTTCCATGAAGATCCTAGGGAAGAAGCTTGATGGGGCGGCTCTACCCTGCACTGTGTGGATAGCTTCTTCTTTTTGTGCAGAGGTCAAAGGGGACTCACTTGACTGTGATTCCCCTCAGTCCTAGCCACTGTTTCACGCGTAAAATAGATCCAGGTGGACATTGCAGTCAAATGTAGGGTATTAAAATGACCCTCCCGTCCCAGTCGTCTGTAACCTGATGGAATGGATTCCACAACAACTGTGATTTTTATCAACACCTCTCAACTTTGATCTCCATTTTGTGCTGCACAGATGTAATGATAACAACACTGTCCCCAGCGTGATGCTTTAAAAAGCACCCCCAAACGCCCTGCCATCCAGTCGATGCTGACTCCGAGCAACCCCACAGGACAGAGCAGACCTGCCCCCCGTTTCTGAGACTGTGACTCTTTATGGCAGTAGAAAGCCCAGCTTTCTCACACACAAAAATGCACGTCATTCCCTAAAATTAAAAAAGAAATACATGTCCATTGTAGATGCTGTGTAGAATTTTGTCAATATCCTTTCATTTTTGTTTAACATTTTAACAGCTTTGTTGGGATAAAACCCACATACAGTCAATTAGTTGGATTTCTGAATATTTTTTTCTCTCTTTTTTTAAAAAAATCATTTTATTAGGGGCTCATATAACTCTTATCACAATCCATACGCACAGCAATTGTGTAAAGCATATTTGTACATTCATTGCCCTCATCATTCTAAAAACATTTTCTCTCCACTTAAACCCCCGGCATTAGGTCCTCATTTTCCCCCTCCCTCCCCGCTCCCCCCTCCCTCATGAGCCCTTGATAGTTTATAAATTGTTATTTTGTCATATCTTGCCCTGTCTGACGTCTCCCTTCACCCACTTTTCTGTTGTCCGTCCCCCAGGGAGGAGGTCACATATAGTTCCTTGTAATCGGTTCCCTCTTTCCTACTCAATCTCTCTCTACCCTCCCTGTTTCGCCACTCACACCACTGGTCCTGTAGGGCTCATCCGCCCTGGATTCCTTGTATTTTCTGTTCCTATCTGTACCAGTGTACCTCCTCTGATCTAGCCAGACTTGCAAGGTCAAATTCGAGTCATGGTAGTGGGAGCGGAGAGGGAATATTTAGGAACTAGAGGAAAATTGTATTTCTCATCGTTGTTACATCGCACCCTGACTGGTTCATCTCCTCCCCGAGACCCCTCCGCAAGGGGATCTCCAGTGGCCTACTAATGGGCTTTGGGTCTCCATTCCGCACTCCCCCCATCATTCACTATGGTAAGATTTTTTGTTCTGATGATGCCTTACACCTGATCCCTTCGACACCTCGTGGTCGCATAGGCTGGTGTCCTTCTTCCATGTGGGCTTTGTTGCTTCTGAGCTTGATGGCCGCTTGATTACCTTCAAGCCTTTAAGACCCCAGGATTTCTGAATATTTAGAGTCGCCACAATTAATTTTAGAACATTTTTATCACTCTCTGCCCCTTAGCTCCATTTACCTCCAAGCCATTCAAACTTCAGATAGTCTACTTTCTGTCTCTAAGATTTGTCTATTTTGAACATTTAATAGAGATGGAATAATATTATATCTACTTCTTTCACTGAATGTTTCCAGTGCTTAGCATCTATCAGTACTTCAATCCTTTGCCCAGCTAAGTGATATTCCATATTATGGCGACATCATGTTTCATCTATCCACTCATCCCAAACGTGGGATTATCCCCACATTTTGGGTAGCAGGAATCATACTCCTGTAAGCATTCACATACAACCTTTTAAGAATATTTATTGTGACTTTGGAGAAATCTTACCTGTCCAATTAGATTCTCCTCTAACAATTTTAGACCTCTCGTTCAGTGCCATCGTTACTCTTTCCACAACTTGGCAGCATTCCCATTTCCATTCTGGTTTAGTTTTCATTAATTAGCTTCCTTGCCTCTCACCCCCCATCCCTGGGGAGAAAGATTGGGGGGGGGCTTTCCACTCCCCTAAACAGTGACAGTCTCAGAATCTCACAGGGGCAGTTCTACCCTGTCCTGCAGGGTCACTTTGACTCCATGGCAGAGAGTGAGTTGTCCCCTTACCTTCTCTTCTTTTGGTTAAGTCTCATGTAGATGATTGTTTTAAGGCCCACAATTTTCAATAGGTAATATTATGTTTGTTACGATCCACTCTGTCTTTTGGCCGGAAGTGGTTAGAATGTTAAGCTTAGAGTATCCGGAGACACTTTTTTTGGGGGGTGGGGGTGGAAGGTGGGAGGTCTTCTACGTCTCTACTAGTCAGTGTAAGGCAAAGGAACTTGGACTGTATGCTGCATTTTTCTCCCATTCTGTCTGGAACCGTCCGTTGTGTCCAGGTCAGAGTAGTTGGTAGTGGTCAATGAGAAAGTTGTTTGCATAAGATGATGATTAGTCCTATAAACTGGTTTCTTCTTTTTCTCTTGCTCCAGATGCATAGAGACCAATAGTTGTATCTATGGCTGCTCAAAAGCTTATAAGACCCCAGATGTCCCTTACAAACGAGGGGAGGTGGGGGGTGTAGAGCTTTATGCCTAGGAGCAGTGGTGTTGCCAGTGGACTGAGTTGTCCTAAGCCCTCTGATCCAGTCATCCAGCTCTGCAAGATGCTTGATGAAGTTCATGTACAAGT